ATTGTTGTGAATTCCAGGCCAGCCTGGACTACAAAGTGAGCTCAAGGCCAGCCTGAACCTTATAGTGAGACCCTGTCTCAAAAAAAAAAAAAAAAAAAAGAACCTGCTGACCGCCAAAAAGCCCTCATTAATTTTCCTTAGTAATTTCCAAAATGTCCTTTAGGGGGCAGCATTACCCCCTTGAGAGCCAAGTAGGCTGCAGATTCCTCTCCCAGCTGGTCATCATTACTTCTCACTTCCCCAATACATCCGGAGTTGGAGTAGCTAGTTTTGGGTTTTGCTATTTTGGTTTTTGAGACAGGGTCTCACTATGTAGTTCAGGCTGGCCTTGCACTCACTATGTAGCCCAGGCTGGGCTGGAAGTTGTGGTGACCCTCCTGCCTCAGCCTCCCAAGTCCTGGGGATCACAGGTGTGTGCCATCATACCAGGCTCTGGATTTGCTAGGAAGGAAGGGAAAGTAGCTATTGGGTTGCCAGTCCAGGCTCCCACATAGTGCAGTTCCTCTCTTTGGCCAATGCCTCTTTTTCCCCACGTGAGCCCTGAGGTTGGGTCCAGATGGTGTATTTCTCACACACTTTGGAGTATCATCTTTGTAGAGATCATTTCATCTATAGTACAAAGAACTCACCCTAGAGCCATCCCGGAAACTAGAAAATAAAGTTCCCATCACGGTAATAATGTATTCAGAGCAGAAAGACACATATACCAAAGAAGTGTTGGATTTATGACCAGTAGGAAAATTCAATCACAAAACAAGAACATTAAAAGCAACAAAACAAACAAAAATCCAAACAGGGATGTGCCAACTCTGCGACAGCTTCAAGGGTCAAGGGAAGAAGATATGTTAGCTTCATTTTTTCCAAAATAAATGGAAAGCTGCTGAAGCTTGTACCCTCCCCCACACATAGTACCAAGGAGCTGTCTGGCAGCTCCTTGGGATTTTGGAGGCAGCATGAATCAGAGTGCGAGACTTGGTCCTGTCCTCAGGAGAGAGATCTGTAAGGCTGGTGGGGTCAGGGCAGCAGGGTCTGCAGCAGGCCGACGTGATGCGAATGGATCTGCTATTTGGATCTTATACCCAGCGGATCCAGCAGTTTCCATATGTTTATGGCAGACAGTACGAGCTCATCTAGTCTATCCATCCACATTAGGTAGACCTCAATTAGGGACTATTTCGAATAGTACCGCTGTGAATACTCTTTTTGTTTTGTTTTCTCTTGCTTTGTTTTTTGGAGACAGGGTCTTACTATGTAGTTCAGGCTGGCCTTGAACTTACAGTATAACCCAGGCTGGTTTGGAACTGGTGACAATCTTCCTGCCTCAGCTTCCCAAGTGGTGGGATTACAGGCCTGCACCACCATGCCCAGCTACTTTATTACTTTTTATTGAAGAATAACATACAACAAGAAAATTATGTAACTGTAGACACACGGCTTGATACACATACACAAAGTGTGTACACCATGTAGCCCGCATTTAAATCAAGAATTTGGAGCCCGGAATGAGGTGCACACACCTCTAATCCCAGCAATTAGGAGGCTGAGACAGGGTGATCACTGCAAGTTCCAGGCCAGCCTGGGTTACATATTGAGTTCAAGTCCAGCCTATATAGCACGATACTGTCTCAAAAAAAAAGAAAATACTTTGTACGTAGGTCAGGGTAAAGGCCCTAGGTTCAATCCCAAGTACTGCAAAAAATCAAAACCAAAAAAAAAAAAAA